CTGTCTTTTCGTTGGAGGTCCTGGAGGACAGGCAGTTCGAGCTTGGTTTCCTTGCGGCCGCTGTTCCTCATCTCTGCGCCATGCTGCTTGCCCCTGAGGGGGATCCAGACGCTCTTGACATCCCGATCCCTCGCACTCACGCTGAGGCGGTCTCGGGACCCTGGGCTTCGTACTGGATAGCAGCTGAGGAGGCAGAGATGGCATCTTATAGGTCCACAGGCACCTACGTCGACACGGTCCCACCACCTGGGGCGAACGTTGTCAGTGGCATGTGGCTCTACCTGGTATGTGGCATGTGTCAGGTGAAGCGCCCGCCTGGAGCACCACCGGTGTTCAAGGCGCGCTACGTGGCGAGAGGCTTCAGTCAGCGAGAGGGGGTAGACTTCTTCCAGACCTTCGCTCCCAACCCGAAGATGACCACTCTTCGGGTGTTGCTGCATATTGCAGCACAGCGCGACTACGAGTTGCACTCCTTGGACTTCTCCACCGCGTTCCTTCAGGGGAGCCTGCACGAGCAGATCTGGCTGCGTCGTCCACCTGGCTTCACTGGCACTTTCCCTCCTGGGACCCAGTGGCAGCTGCGTCGACCGGTCTACGGCCTGCGCCAGGCTCCCTGCGAGTGGCACGACACGCTACGTACGACTCTTGCAGCGCATGACTTCTTTCCGTCGTCTGCCGACCCGTCGCTGTTCGTCCGCCGTGGTTCGACCCCGTTCTTTGTTCTGGTCTACGTTGACGACCTGGTCTTCGCCACTCCCGACCGACGCGCACTGGCCTCCGTGAAGGAGGAACTGCACAGGAGACACACTTGCACTGACCTTGGTGAGCTGCAGCGCTACCTTGGCCTGCAGGTCACCAGGGACAGGGCAGCTCGCACCATTACGCTGATGCAGTCGCATATGGTCGAGCAGATCCTCACGCGGTTTCGCTTCCCGTTCTCCAAGGTACAGCCCACCCCTCTTGCTGTGGATCATGGGCTCACGGCTCCACCTTCGGACGAGCCATTTGAGTCCAGCGGTCCATATCCTGAGCTGGTGGGTTGTCTCATGTACCTGATGACCTGCACTCGCCCAGACCTAGCTTACCCTCTTAGCGTCCTGGCGCACTTTTTTGCGCCTGGGAGACACCGACCTTCCCACTGGTACGCGGCTAATAGGGTGGCGAAATATGTGGCGAGTACATCAGGCATGGGACTTGTCCTTGGAGGGAAGCAGCCAGTTACACTTACAGGTTACTCGGACTCGTCTTGGGCCGACGACGCAGAGTCGCTGCGGTCTACACAGGGTTACTGCTTCAGCCTTGGGACCGGAGCTGTTTCGTGGAGGTCGACTCGGGCGTCGTTCGTCTCTAGTTCCAGTTGTGAGGCAGAGGTGTACGCTGCGGCCATGGCCGCCCAGGAGCTTCGCTGGCTGTCTTTCCTCCTCACTGACCTTGGTGAGCGGCCTCGCTCTCCCCCAGTCTTGTTCGCCGACAACAGGTCTGCTATCCTGTTGTGCGAGGAGCCTCGACTGGTTGGGAAGGCGAAGCACATCCAGCTTCGTTATTTCCTTCTACGCGAGTTTCAGCAGCGTGGCCAGGCCCGCGTGGTACGTGTGGTCTCTGAGGCCAACACTGCAGATATCTTCACCAAGGCGTTGCCGCCTTGTGACCACCAGCGTTTCTGCACCCAGCTTGGCCTTGTGTCTACAGGCCCTCACTTGCTTGCGTGGAGATGCTTTGTCTTGTACTCTTGCATCTCACTATATACCTTCTATCTGTGCTTGTGGACAGGCCTTGTGGCCCCTTGCTTCTGTAGAGATGCTTGTCATGCATGCCTTGTACACTTGCATCTCTTATATCTGCTATATCATTGCATGTGGACTGGCCTTGTGGCCCTTTGCTTGTTCTCGGACTGTGTGGTGATCTTGAGATCCACCCCGAGAGTTGCCTTGTTCTTGCTGACTGGTCCTGTGACCCTTGGTTGTTCTCAGACTGTGTGGTGACTTTGTGATCCACCCTGAGATGTGTGTAGCTTTCCACAGGTCTGTTGTCACCTAGACTATGGGGGTGTGTCAAACTATAATTGTTATAGTTTGTATTGTTTAGCCTAGGTGGTGTGCACCTTGGTTAGTGCTAGGGTCGGGTTTGCTATATCTACCCTTGTACTTGCTCATTCTAGTCATTCATTCTTCCAGTTCTATCTTTGACAGCAGGTGCAGGAGAGACGCCGGACGTGTGATCGAAAAGCGAGACTCCGTCCTTAGAGTCGCACTGAAGAAAGAGCTGCAGGTCATCTACCCAAACGTCGAAGTCAACCGCACGACCCTCAGCATCAAAGGTAAGAACATTAGGGCTAGCCATGGCGGCAGTAGCAGCAGTAGCAGCAGGAGCAGCAGAAGCAGCAGTAGCAGCAGGAACAGCTGCAGTAGCAGGGGCAGCGCGGGCAGGGCAGCGCGGCTCAGTAGGGCAGGGCGGCGCGGCTCGGCAGGGCGGCGAGGCTCGGTAGGGCGGCGCGGCTCGGCAGGGCGGCGCGGCTCGGCTGGGCGGCGCGGCTCGGCTGGGCGGCGCGGCGCGGCAGGCAGGCGGGCGCTTACCAGGGGCGGGTGCAGGGCAGGGCCGCAGCTGGCGGTTAGGTCAGGGCCGCGACTGGGGCGGCTGTAGGGCAGGGCCGCGACGAGGCGGCGGCAGAGCAGGGCCGCGACGGGGCGGCTGCAGGGCAGGGCCGCGACTGGGCGGCAGCAGGGCAGGGCTGCGACGGGGCGGCGGTAGAGCAGGGCCGCGACAAGCGGCTGAGGGCAGAGCCGCGACGGGTGGCGGCAGGGCAGGGCCGGGACGGGCGGCGAGATCAGGGCCAACCGGAGCGGCAGGGCAGGGCCGCTACGGGCGGCGAGGGCCGGCCGCGACGGGCGGCTAGGTCAGGCCGCGACGGGCGGCGACCGGGGAGAGCCGCGACGGGCGGCAAGGTCAGGGCCGCGACGGGCCGTTAGGGTAGGGCCGCGACGGTCCGGGAAGGCAGGGCCGCGACGGGCGGCAGTAGGGCAGGGCGCGCAACGGCGCAGGTGAGGCAGGCGCGAGGCGCGCTTTGGGCAGGGCAGGAAAAAAACTTTTATCGTGGTGGGCCCTAAAAAAAACGTTCCCACTAGGGAACCTGCTCTGAAACCATGTCAGAAATGAGAAGGAAAGAATGACTAGAAAGAGAGCAGTACAAGGTTTAGGTTTGTATAGGCAAAACCTAATTTGGGCTGTACCCCATAAGGAGTGCCCCACTACAGCCTAGAGCATATATGCATAGTTCTGACATACCGCTGAGGCTGAGATCTACGCTGGAGCCATGGCTGCGCAGGAGCTGCGTTGGTTGACCTTCTTGCTCACAGACCTTGGTGAGCGGCCGAGCTCTGCACCGACCTTGTTCACTGACAACAAGGCGGCGATTCTTCTCTGTCGGGAGCCTCGACTGGAGAGCAGAGTGAAGCACATCAACGTCAGGTACTTTCTTCTGCGAGAGTTGCAGAGGCGTGGACAGGCTCGCTTGGACTTTGTGGAGTCCGAGGCCAACACTCCAGACATCTTCACCAAGGCGCTTCCGCCTTGTGACCACCATAGGTGCTGTGTGCAGTTAGGTCTCGTTGACACTGGTTCTCGTCTTGTGTAGACGTTGTTTGTTTTGTTGTACCCGTTGATTATACACCTGTGAACTCTTGAACTGGCCTTGTGGCCATTCTGCTTGTGCTCGGAATGTGTGGTGACATTGTGATCCACCCTGAGCTTTGTTCCTTTGTGACTGGTCTTGTGACCTTACTCTTTTGGTTTTTGCTTGACACCCCTCACTTAGGCTATGGGGGTGTGTCAAATGTTGTAGCCTGTAGTGAGGCTTGTCTTATGGGGTACAAATGGTTTCCTTTTTTATTCTCTATCCGTCATATCTGGGCGCCGTCGTTCCTCGTCATGCGCACACACCGGGCATCCACTGCGGGGGTTAAACCGCAGGCGGGCATTCCACCGTACCCGACGGTGGGCCCAGCTGCGGCACGGTGTTGCTTGCACTTCGAGATGAGCCCCTTCACTGGCTACACTGGCATGCAATTAAGGGGGGATGTCAGAATGTAATATTCTTATATAATTGCATGTTTAGATAGAAGTGTAGTATCACCCATCTTGTCTTAGGTGGTCTACCTCCCTTCACCACCTCCCCTGTCCGATATATTGTTCTCTCATCCTATAGTGCAACCCCTCTTCTTTGGCTAACACCGGGTGGTATATTTTTACTTCCTTTGTTAAGACCCCCCCCCCCCCCCATTTTTTCTAGGGATTTAGCATAAGACCCTTGGGTCTTATATCCGGGGGAATACGGTATTACTACACGTACTTCTTGTAACGTCACACGAATAATGACAATATTATTAACGCTCCTAATAGTTACATTAACGACCATATACGGTACCATGTATGCTACAGTAACAGTACAATATATGCTTTTACTGCTCTAGTACTACCTGCTGGGCTGGGAATATGCCATTGGGATCTCTTAGGATATTTTATTTTACCTCAACAATACCGAACTACTGAAAAGTAACTCACCGTCTTTTCATCTTATCCAGACACACAACTTCTTGGGCTTACTCCATAGTGATATACGTTGTATACGTGGCGTAGAGCTACAGCGCTACGAATTGTTGTCCTGCGTCTATGTACAAGAAATCTCGACGTGCACCTTGAAAATAGACCGCGATCTTCCCCGGGTCAAGGAGGGGCAGGCAGTACCGCAGGCTGATCAGCAAGACAGGTTCAGGCCAGAATTTCTTTGAGACGTGTGTGGGCTGTAGCGAGAAGCAGGTTGCGATGTGGAGGGAGCAGCAGGTGCCATGCAATATACCCTGGGTCGAGAAGGGGCCGGCGGTACTGCAGGCTGTTGGGCGAAGCAGGTTGAGGCCTTGAATGAATGCGAGTGAGCGTGAAATGCGGCACCTACCACCACCACCCTGCATCATGCAGGGAGGGGCAGCAGGCAGGTGCAAAGGGGTCTACCCCGGGTCGAGGAGGGGCAGGCGGTACTGCAGGCTGATTGGGGAGGCGGCGTATTGGAAGATCATGAGCAGACACGCCTCGTTGGGTGCCACGCCTGCTGACATGCACGGAGGGAGCGGGAGGTGGGTGAGAGGGTGGTGGCATTCAGCCTGATTGCATGGTGGTGACAGGAGCATGCAACAGCGGGTCAAAGTATCAGATGGGAAGATCATGAGCAGACACGCCTCGTTGGGTGCCACCCCTGCTTGCATGGTGGGGGGTGATGGGGGTGATGGGGGTGATGGCGGTGATGGGAGTGATGGGGGTGATGGCGGTGATGGGAGTGATGGGAGTGATGGCGGTGATGGGAGTGATGGGAGTGATGGGAGTGATGGGAGTGATGGGAGTGATGGGAGTGATGGGAGTGATGGGAGTGATGGGAGTGATGGGAGTGATGGGAGTGATGGGAGTGATGGGAGTGATGGGAGTGATGGGGGTGATGGGGGTGATGGGAGTGATGGGAGTGATGGGAGTGATGGGAGTGATGGGAGTGATGGGAGTGATGGGAGTGATGGGAGTGATGGGAGTGATGGGAGTGATGGGGGTGATGGGAGTGATGGGAGTGATGGGAGTGATGGGAGTGATGGGAGTGATGGGAGTGATGGGAGTGATGGGAGTGATGGGAGTGATGGGAGTGATGGGAGTGATGGGAGTGATGGGAGTGATGGGGGTGATGGGGGTGATGGGAGTGATGGGAGTGATGGGAGTGATGGGAGTGATGGGAGTGATGGGAGTGATGGGAGTGATGGGAGTGATGGGAGTGATGGGGGTGATGGGAGTGATGGGAGTGATGGGGGTGATGGGGGTGATGGGAGTGATGGGAGTGATGGGAGTGATGGGAGTGATGGGAGTGATGGGAGTGATGGGGGTGATGGGGGTGATGGGGGTGATGGGAGTGATGGGAGTGATGGGAGTGATGGGAGTGATGGGAGTGATGGGAGTGATGGGAGTGATGGGAGTGATGGGAGTGATGGGAGTGATGGGAGTGATGGGAGTGATGGGAGTGATGGGAGTGATGGGAGTGATGGGAGTGATGGTACATGGCAGGCGGTTGTGAATGTATTGGAAGACTATGAGACGGAGGGAAAGCACGGACTGACCGCAGTAGGAGGCATCGGGGCGGGTGAGGTAGCACTGCAGGCTGCGGGCGAGGTGCTTCACACTCACTGACTGTTCGGGGGTAGATGCGTGAGGGGGATGGGGGAGGGGTGAGATGGGGGAGAGGGGGATGTGGCCGGGATGGCAGGGGGTGAGATGGCACCGCGCAAGGGAGTGCTTCACACTCACTGAGGGCGAGGTGTGGACTGCAGAGGACAGACGAGAGGGACGAGAAGTTGGGAATCTTGGGACATGACGGCAATTTGGATCAGGTGTGTAATGTGTCACATCGTGGCACCAAATCACATTACACAGGTGGATGAATGAAAGACGTGCTGTGAGGCGGGACCATGCTTTAAGAACCAGCACGTGAAGCTGCCAGATGAAGTCCAGTTTGCAAGATTTCAGGTTTTAAGCCTATGCTCACAGCTCACAGCTATAAAAAAACTCCTGCTCCACATGCTCACAGCTCACAACCACTGCAGGAAAGCCCATTCCTACAACCCTACAGCACCCCTCTGCCTTAATGTGCCGCCCACGACTCACCACGACTGTAGCATCGCCTGTAGCTTGCATCTGCCTGAGCCTTGTGGACAGCCCCGATATGTCTGCATCGTCGTCTGTGTCCCCCCCTTGCCTGCTGCCCTCCCCCACTCCCGCCCTACTCTGCTGGCTCTCTGCTCCGTGGTATGAGGTGCGGCAAGCGGTGACAAGGGGTGGAGAGAGGTGGAGTGGGGAAAAAGGGGTGCAGCGGGGCAAAAAGAGCGAGAGGGATTAGCAAAGGAGTCGGAACAAAGAAGTGAAGCAAAGTGCCCGTTGTGTGGGCAGGGCCTGACAGGCAGAGGTGGGAGATCGATTCAGCTGGACAAGAACCTCTTTCCAATGCCACCGCACCCGAGATACGTGAAATGAGGGTGTTTTTGAGACGTCTCGAAAACACCCTCATTTCACGTAGCTGGATAAGAACCTCCTATGCCACTGCACCCGAGTTAACGCCGAAGACTCTGAGGTTCTTGAGCACATAGGAGGAGGTATCGATGGTGATGGAGAGCGTGTGTGTGTGCTCATGCCAAGTACTGAGGTGGCTGAGAAGTTACCTGAGTTGGTGCCGATGACTTTGAGGTTCTTGAACTGAGCGGCGACGGTGAAGGAGGGCGTGTGTGTGTGTACGCATGCAAGGCACTGAGATGGCTGAGAAGTTACCTGAATTAGCCCCGAAGGCTCTCAGGTTCTTGAATTGGGGGGTGGCGGTGATGGATGGTGTGTGGGTGCGTGCGCATGGCGAATACTGAGAGTATGAGACGGCTCTTATGTCACCTGAATTAGCCCCAAAGACTTTGAGATTCTTGAACTGTGCAGCGACGGTGATGGAGGGCGTGTGGGTGCGCATGGCTAGAGCACCGCTCCTCATTGTTGCCACGTCAGCCACGTCCCCCACACTCTGCAGGCGCTCCACTAAGTGGCGCAGGGACGGCAGGTCCGGCAGCTGCACTAGGGTCTGGAAGAAGAGAGGAGTGGGAGAGCATGAATGGACGGTTACTCCCCACACTCCACGTCGCCCACACTCGGCAGCCGCTCCACTAGCTGCCGCAGGGACGGCAGGTCGGGTAATTGCACTAGCGTCTGGAAGAAGAGAGAAGCGGGGGGAGGGCAAGGGGAGGGGACGGTCGCCACGTCAGCCACGTCGCCCAGCCACTCCACCAGGTGGTGCAGGACGGCAGGTCTGACCAGGGGGTGAGGGAAAGAGAAGAAAGGCGAGGGAGGGGAGAGCATGAAACATGCATCTTTACTCCTTGTGCTGGTTACTGCTGGTTATCTCAAACCAGGGAGGAGCATGGCAGCGTCCTTCGAAATGAATCCCCTGACGCCACGACGCCACACTCTGCAGCACCCGCTCCAAGAGGTGCCGCAGGGGCCGCAGGTCCGGCAGAGAGGGAAGAATGCAACCAGCTTGCTCAGAAGGGCGGGCAGCATGAACGGGTGCTCACCTCAGGCTCAGGCAACCTTGGACAACACGGCATTGATTAACGAAGCATTGGGCGGCAGATGTCGATGCCTCCCCAATCAACCGAAGTTAACAGAGGTCAACCGGAGTCTACAAGAGTCAACACGGGTCTCACCTCTGGCAGCGAGTGCACGAGGTCGATGCCAGCCTGCAGCTCGTTGAGCTGCGAGCGGGGCAGCGGCGTCGAGATGGGGATGTCCTGCACGATGCTGGAGCGCTCGCCCTGGCGGAGAAGGGGGAGGGGAGAGGGGGGCACGAGGGAGCATGATCGGTTGCTCTGAGGCGGAAGAAGGGAGGAATCGCGCTGCTGTCTGCACCCTGGGCGTCGAGATGGGGATGCCCTGCACGATGCTGGAGCGCTCGCCCTGGGGGGGTGGGGGAAAGGGGGGGGAGGGGAGAGACTTAAGGTGTGCTAAGTGCTGCTCACATGGCGTCGAGATGGTGTTGTCCTGCACGATGCGAGCAGAACGCTCGCACTGTGTGAATGAAGGGGCGGGGGGGGGGGGGGGGGCGTCGAGCTGTCAAGGGTGGTGGAGATGCATTGCTGTGGGCACAAACTCTAGTTGAGCCAACTGCCACTCAAGTTGAGCCAACTGCCACTCAAGTTGAGCCAACTGCCACTCACAACGCAACGAGATGGGGATGTCCTGCACGATGCTTGAACACTCGCCCTTTGGGGGGGGAGGGGGGAGAGGGAGGCAAAAGCCGTGACAAGGGGGAGCTTCATACAGAAAGGGGGAAAGCGTGGGGGTGGGGGCTGCTGTTATTGAGGAGCTTGAGCAGGTATTGGTGGTGTGTGGCGATGGTTGGGGTGCAACACCACACACCACCCACCTTGAAACCCACCCTAGCCTCAAGACCGAGGGACGGCAGGGGGGACGCGGAGGGGGTGGTGCTCTTTTTGGGGGAGAAGAAGGGGGTGCTGCCCTTGTTGCATGTGGAACTCACCTTGGCCTTAAGAGACAGGAACGGCAGCGCAGGAGCAGAGGGCATGGTCCTTGCTCTTCTTTACGAGCTTGAGCTGGTGGCTCGTGGCTCAGCAAACACTCTGTGGCATGGCACCAGACAGAGACACCCACCTTGGCCTCCAGGGGAAGGAATGTGGTGCTCGTCTTGAGGGAGAAGAAGAAAGTGCTGCTTTTCTTGCGTGTGGAACTCACCTTGGCTTCAAGAGACAGGAAGGGCAGCGCGGGCGCAGTGGGGTTGGTGCTCTTCTTGACGAGCTTCAGCTGGTGGCGCGTGGCAGCGGTGGCGAGGGAAGAGCGCAGGGCGCGGGCGAGCAGCGAGAGATCGAGAGAGAAGGCGATGCGGTCGGCACTGGCGCTGCTGATGAGATGCTCCGAGAATAACTCGGCCTGAGGGGTAGGGGGAGGGCGGATGGGGTACGGGGGAAAGAAGAACAAGGGGACATATGTGAGCAAGAAATCACATGCTTCCAAAACAGCTCGCCTTGGATGGGACAGGACGGGAGAGGAGGAGGAGGAGGGAATGTGTGTGAGGAGGAGAAAAGGGAATGCAAGGAAGGGAAAGAGGAAAGTGGGAGGGCGAGGGCGAGCAGCGAGAGGTTGAGAGAGAAGGGGATGTGATCCACACAGCCACTGCTGATGAGGTGCTCTGAGAATAGCTCGGGGGGAAGGGGGGGAGGAAGAGAGAGAGAGAGGGGGCGCAGATGGACGACAGGAGGAGGAAAGGAGCCTGTAAGGCGCTGCTGATGAGGTGCTCTGAGAACAGCTCGCCCTGAGGGGGGAAATCGGGAAGGAGGACAGGACAGGAGGAGGGCCTTAGATTAGATGTGTGCGGACAAGATAGAATGAAGGGCGTGTGAGAAAACGAGACATGAATCTGATGGAAAGGAAAAAGGGCGCGGGTGTTAATGTTAGCCCTCAATCTCACATTTGTACTTGTACTTTTTATATCCTAGTTTAGTGTAGTTTGCACTTTGTGTTTGGTTGGGTGTACACCCACATCCCAACCAAACCCAAATGTGATCTCCAAGCAATCTCCAACCCATCAATTGGAGATTGCCTTGGGATTACCCCCAATTCCCTGGGATTGTCCCCGATTCTCTCCCCTCCCTTACCTTGCCCATTTCCAATGTACTAGAGCCTTGAGCTCATTACTAATGCATGGATTCTAAGCTCAAGTTCTATCAGCGGGGGCGTGTGAGCAATGGAAGCGATCTCCAGTAAGTAATTGCTTCTGTTGAAAAACCGATGTGTATGAGCAAGGGGGGGACGTTACAGTTGGGAACTGCATGTCATGGGTTGTGTTGTGTCTTATCTTCGCGACGTACTACCGTTCAGCTTTTAACTCAAGCGGCCTTACAGTGGGGAACTGTGCGATGGCCTGCACGCCTTACAGTAGGGAACTGTGCGATGGCCTGCACGCCTTACAGTGGGGAACTATGCGATGGCCTGCACGCCTTACAGTGGGGAACTGCGCGATGGCCTGCACGCCTTACAGTGGGGAACTGCGCGATGGCCTGCACGCCATCAGCGGAGAGCACGTTGTGCAGGAGGAAGACGTCAGATGGCGTGAGGTACACGTGGCACACCCGCCCTATGCGCTCAAACGCCGGCAGGAAGCCTGCAGGAGGGCGTGGAGGAGGGGGTGACATGACACAGCTGGTGGTTGGCAGGCACCATGTTGAGGACGTATGTGCGGGGTGGGGTTACAGTTACAGGTGCCGAATGATGATTCCAGGGAGTGAGGTGCATGTGGCACAACCGGCCAGTACGCGGGTCAGGGAGTGAGGTGCATGTGGAACCCTGCAAGAGGGTCGTAGAGATGAGGGGGGTTGGCATGGCGGGTGGGTGGCGGCATGGGGTGGACCGTGGAGCAGTGGGATGATATAATACACAGGCATTGGCACACTGATGGTGCCAGGGCATGAGGTGCATGTGGCACACTGATGGTGCCAGGGCATGAGGTGCATGTGGCACACTGATGGTGCCAGGGCATGAGGTGCATGTGGCACACTGATGGTGCCAGGGCATGAGGTGCATGTGGCACACTGATGGTGCCAGGGCATGAGGTGCATGTGGCACACTGATGGTGCCAGGGCATGAGGTGCATGTGGCACACGCGATGCGCCCAGTGCGCTCGACGACGCTGACAGGAACCCTGCAGGGGAGGGTCGGGGCGGGGGTGGCATGGCGGGTGGTTGGTGGCATGAGCTGAAGGCGTGTGGCTGCACTGTTACGGCCATCCGCGTCTATGCATGTCGGTGCTGCTCGGGTGTGTGTGGTGGGTACAAGGAGGGGTACAAGGAGGGGTACAAGGAGGGGTACAAGGAGGGGTACAAGGAGGGGTACAAGGAGGGGTACAAGGTGGGGTACAAGGTGGGGTACAAGGTGGGGTACAAGGTGGGGTACAAGGTGGGGTACAAGGAGGGGTACAAGGTGGGGTACAAGGTGGGGTACAAGGAGGGGTACAAGGTGGGGTACAAGGTGGGGTACAAGGAGGGGTACAAGGAGGGGTTCAAGGTGGGGTTCAAGGTGGGGTACAAGGTGGGGTACAAGGAGGGGTACAAGGAGGGGTACAAGGTGGGGTACAAGGTGGGGTACAAGGTGGGGTACAAGGTGGGGTACAAGGAGGGGTACAAGGTGGGGTACAAGGTGGGGTACAAGGAGGGGTACAAGGAGGGGTTCAAGGTGGGGTTCAAGGTGGGGTACAAGGTGGGGTACAAGGAGGGGTACAAGGTGGGGTACAAGGTGGGGTACAAGGTGGGGTACAAGGAGGGGTACAAGGTGGGGTACAAGGTGGGGTACAAGGTGGGGTACAAGGAGGGGTACAAGGTGGGGTACAAGGTGGGGTACAAGGTGGGGTACAAGGAGGGGTACAAGGTGGGGTACAAGGTGGGGTACAAGGTGGGGTACAAGGAGGGGTACAAGGTGGGGTACAAGGTGGGGTACAAGGTGGGGTACAAGGAGGGATACAAGGTGGGGTACAAGGTGGGGTACAAGGTGGGGTACAAGGAGGGGTACAAGGTGGGGTACAAGGTGGGGTACAAGGAGGGGTACAAGGAGGGGTACAAGGAGGGGTACAAGGTGGGGTACAAGGTGGGGTACAAGGAGGGGTACAAGGAGGGGTTCAAGGTGGGGTACAAGGTGGGGTACAAGGTGGGGTACAAGGTGGGGTACAAGGTGGGGTACAAGGAGGGGTACAAGGAGGGGTTCAAGGTGGGGTTCAAGGTGGGGTACAAGGTGGGGTACAAGGAGGGGTACAAGGAGGGGTACAAGGTGGGGTACAAGGTGGGGTACAAGGTGGGGTACAAGGTGGGGTACAAGGAGGGGTACAAGGTGGGGTACAAGGTGGGGTACAAGGAGGGGTACAAGGAGGGGTACAAGGTGGGGTACAAGGAGGGGTACAAGGTGGGGTACAAGGTGGGGTACAAGGAGGGGTACAAGGAGGGGTTCAAGGTGGGGTTCAAGGTGGGGTACAAGGTGGGGTACAAGGAGGGGTACAAGGAGGGGTACAAGGTGGGGTACAAGGTGGGGTACAAGGTGGGGTACAAGGTGGGGTACAAGGTGGGGTACAAGGAGGGGTACAAGGTGGGGTACAAGGTGGGGTACAAGGTGGGGTACAAGGAGGGGTACAAGGTGGGGTACAAGGTGGGGTACAAGGTGGGGTACAAGGAGGGGTACAAGGTGGGGTACAAGGTGGGGTACAAGGTGGGGTACAAGGAGGGGTACAAGGTGGGGTACAAGGTGGGGTACAAGGTGGGGTACAAGGAGGGATACAAGGTGGGGTACAAGGTGGGGTACAAGGTGGGGTACAAGGAGGGGTACAAGGTGGGGTACAAGGTGGGGTACAAGGAGGGGTACAAGGAGGGGTACAAGGAGGGGTACAAGGTGGGGTACAAGGTGGGGTACAAGGAGGGGTACAAGGAGGGGTTCAAGGTGGGGTACAAGGTGGGGTACAAGGTGGGGTACAAGGTGGGGTACAAGGTGGGGTACAAGGAGGGGTACAAGGAGGGGTTCAAGGTGGGGTTCAAGGTGGGGTACAAGGTGGGGTACAAGGAGGGGTACAAGGAGGGGTACAAGGTGGGGTACAAGGTGGGGTACAAGGTGGGGTACAAGGTGGGGTACAAGGAGGGGTACAAGGTGGGGTACAAGGTGGGGTACAAGGAGGGGTACAAGGAGGGGTACAAGGTGGGGTACAAGGAGGGGTACAAGGTGGGGTACAAGGTGGGGTACAAGGAGGGGTACAAGGAGGGGTTCAAGGTGGGGTTCAAGGTGGGGTACAAGGTGGGGTACAAGGAGGGGTACAAGGAGGGGTACAAGGTGGGGTACAAGGTGGGGTACAAGGTGGGGTACAAGGTGGGGTACAAGGTGGGGTACAAGGAGGGGTACAAGGTGGGGTACAAGGTGGGGTACAAGGTGGGGTACAAGGAGGGGTACAAGGTGGGGTACAAGGTGGGGTACAAGGTGGGGTACAAGGAGGGGTACAAGGTGGGGTACAAGGTGGGGTACAAGGTGGGGTACAAGGAGGGGTACAAGGTGGGGTACAAGGTGGGGTACAAGGTGGGGTACAAGGAGGGATACAAGGTGGGGTACAAGGTGGGGTACAAGGTGGGACAGGCCTACAAGGGCGTGCCTTGCCTGCCTGCTCCAAGGCCGGTTGGTGCCATGTCTGCAGGTCAGGGCGTGGGGTTTTGGTGGGGGAATGATGACATGGGGGGGTGATGGCTAGAGGTGAAAGGCATGAAAAAGTGGAGAAATGGTGCGCATTGGGAACGGGAACAGGCATAGATCAAATAAAAGTGATTCCAGTGTAGCGCACAGCTTTATATAAGCGGGCCATTGTGCGCATGAAAGGGGAACAGGCGCAGAAAGCAATGGGGTGATCACGTTGAGGCATGATGGCATGGATGGGATGGTTGCATTGCATAGATGGGATTATGGCATGGATGGCATGATGGCATGGATGGCATGATGGAATGGATGGCATGATGGCATGGCATGAGGCATGCAAGGAAGCGGTCGGCGCTGAATAATGCACTGCTTCGTGGTGAACAGAGAGATGAGAAGCACAGAACATGTGATTCGAGAAATCGAGGCTGAGCTACCTTTGAGACGTCTCAGAACATGTGATTCAAGAGATCGAGGCTGAGCTACCTTTGAGACGTCTCAGAACATGTGATTCAAGAGATCGAGGCTGAGCTACCTTTGAGACGTCTCAGAACATGTGATTCAAGAGATCGAGGCTGAGCTACCTTTGAGACGTCTCAGAACATGTGATTCAAGAGATCGAGGCTGAGCTACCTTTGAGACGTCTCAGAACATGTGATTCAAGAGATCGAGGCTGAGCTACCTTTGAGGACGTCTCAGAACATGTGATTCAAGAGATCGAGGCTGAGCTACCTTTGAGACGTCTCAGAACATGTGATTCAAGAGATCGAGGCTGAGCTACCTTTGAGACGTCTCAGAACATGTGATTCAAGAGATCGAGGCTGAGCTACCTCGCGCCAAGCAGGTTTGAAAGCATAGCAGGAGCAAGCGAGCAGACAGGGAAGGGAGGAAGAAGGTGACGTCAGAGGCGGGCTTACGTTGCTCGAGGAGCGTCACTCCGTCCGTCGTGAGAATCGCCTTGAACCGCATGCTGTACGCTCTGCTGTGTGCTCTGCTATATGCTCTGCTAAATGCTCTGCTGTATGCTTTGCTATATGCTCTGCTGTACGCTCTGATGTATCCTCTGGCCTATGCGCTAACGCCTCAATAGGAAAAATCGTAAGAAGCTCTTATACTGCATCACCAAAATGTTTCTGACCCTAGCGTGACCCACCTTCCGGCCTGACCCAAGCCTGTCCTGTAAATGCCCCCAGAGTTTCTTTGGGGTCAAATTGGGGTTAGTGGTCAGAACAGGGTCAGTTCTGGGTCAGTGAGTTTTTTGACCCAAAAGTAACCTGCCCCGCACAGCCCTTGGGGATCTGGGGATGCGGGTTCGATACTTGTCGCTGGCAGTTCTAGACTCCAATTTTTTTTATTGACTTCGAAACTTATTAATCGTAAGAGCAGTGCTCGCTGATTTATTCTTAGCCCTTCTCCTAACCGGCTGCTGGAGAATCCGATCTTTCCAGCGGTGCGACAGTCCGTGACACTGGCCCGTGAAGCCCGCTCGTTGCGGTTAGATTCTCATAAGTGACTCATTGCGACCTGTACAACGATGACGTCATCTTCACCTCTGACGATTCGGGATCCATGATACAACATTTGCTGCTAACCGCACAACTAACTGCACAACTAAAAAGACGACGACATGGCTGAGGTGTGTGCTACGCCTTTGGTTGCCTAATGGCATGACGCGCTTTGGCAGCGCAATCGTCGGAGCGTTTTAATAGCTGGCCCTTCACACGGAAGCGATGGCGTGGTGACGATCTCGCAGCACAGCAGCCACATGGTGGTCTTATAGTAGGCTTATAGGCAGGTGTTGTACAATATGAAAAGCTTAGATGCGTTTGAAAGCGGTGAAGGATGATGCTGGATCGTTGCAGAAACTGGATTTGTATTCTGTGGCAGCGTGTCCGTGACGCCAGATGGTAGCAGCAAGCTATGGGTTTGGGCATCCCGTGAGCCTAGAAGTTTGTTTTCCCCAAAACATACTCGTGTACTTGCGGCGGGAATTGTATATGTTTGCAGACTCGTTACACGCGAATCAGCTCCCGAAAGTTCCAACGGATCCCTCATTGAAAGTGGGACTGGTCACTGGAAAATACTCGAGGGTCGTCGCGAAATCCCAAGAGAGCGGCTCAAGCTTGGCGAAATGTTTGCGAATTCCATCGGCACAAGTTGAGCCGCGAAACGTGGTCGCACAACGTTTTCCCGCCTTTTACACAACGTGATCCAGCACAGCAGCCTTGGACTTGGTCGGTTTTGCTACAGTACCGGAACACGCGAGCAAACCTCCAAGAAGAATCAAGCAAAGCCGCCAAGGCTGAAACCCTAGGCTGCAACTCTACCAGACCTCCATCACTCAAGCCGCAGCGACGTTCTAGGCACGTTCCTCGCTAGTTAAGAAGCTTCCTAAAACTCCTGAGAACTGGTTCTGCCGTCACGTGGCGACTGCCGCAGTGCGCTTCGGCCCCAGCCCGCCTTTCGGGCCACATTCGACGTGTTAAAATAGTTTTTCAAGCATTAGTGAAGCACAAGGTGTGCTGGAAGTAATAGTAGCTGGTGGGACGCTCGGAAGAGTGTTTATGTCGTCACGGTTGTGGCTCGTTGTAGCTTAGCATATGGAGCTTATAACGAGCGTCCCGGTTGTTTCAGGCGGTCACGTTTGACTGCCATGTCACTTGTAGTCATTTTTGCTTCGAATCCTGCATCTGAATAATACGCAGCCTTCGCAATGTAGATACTTCCGCATCTGAAGTTTAAATATTTGTAATGTATATATAACTTCTGGCTCATTCCCCTTCTCTCCCTTCTCGTTTACCCCGTTACTACAGAATGACTCGCTCGCTTCTCTTACAGCGCCTACAGGCGGTCGCCGACCAGCAGCCTCCCAGCCAGCCGCCCAGCAGACCGCCTGACCTGCCGGCGGAAGCCGCGCAAACGGCGGAGGCTGCCCGCCGTGCTGGCGGCCCCGCGGCATCAACGGCGCAACGAAGGGAAGCAGCCGCAGCCAGAAGGACTGCTGGGGGAACGGTTCAAGGGGAGGGGCGAGCGGAGGAGCAGCGCGGTGGCGTGCGGTTGGAGTCGGTTCCGGCCACCAACCCCCATGTCGCCCGACCTGCCCGTCCCGAGCCTGCCCTTCCCCCGTACGCCTTCCCCTCGCCCACCCCCCACTCTTCCGCCCTTGGTCTCCCCGTGCCCCCCCTGCACGCGAGCACGGGCACAGGCAGGGGAACAGGCGTGGGCACAGGTACGGGCACAGGCACCGGCACAGGCGCGGGCACAGGCGCGGGCACAGGCGCGGGCAGAGGCGCGGGCAGAGGCACGGGGTTGGGCGTGCGGGTGGAGCAGGTGCGGAGAGGTAGCAGCCACGGGATCGGCAGGGGCAGGGTGCGGGCGTTGTGGGACGATGAGCAGACAATAACACTTCTGAAGATCATGCGCGGTGTGCTGCGCGCTCAGGGCAGCGCCCTCCCCGGCAGGATCGAGGACTGGGGGGCGGTGCACCGCGAGTGGCTGCGGCGAGGATCCCTGCGGGGGTACCCGAGGTACTCGGAGGAGCAGCTGAGGATCCGGTGCAGGGTGGTGCGCGGGTGGGTGAAGGACATACAGGCGCTGCAGGCAATGCTGCCGCCCGGAGTCGAGTGGGATCCTGCCACTCAGTACTTTGATCCCGACCCCAAGGTGCGTTGGGGGTTTGAAACCGACCCTAAGTTGAGCTGTGGTTTGGCGGTGATCGCTACTTTGACTCTGACCCTAAGTTGAGATGATATGCCCGTTAACCCCAGCCACATGGAATATGCCTGTCTCTACTTGGGTTGTGGGCACTGGGATGCGATGTTTTTTCTTACATGGAATGGAACGTACAGAATCGAGAGCCTTTTACTCCTGGTATGCGTACACTGATTCAGTTCATTTGAGCTAGGCTAGGCTTGTGTGGACCTTTATCCTGTATGCACTGAAGCCCACGCTCCTCTATCCTGTATGCACTGAAGCCCACCCTCCTCTGCTTCCACCTCACCAAAGCCCCATGCGCTGAACCCCACACACCTCCTCTCTCCGTTTCCTTGCTCGCTGTTCCTTACCCTTTTCCCCCCACACACCCCCCACACTCTCCCCTCCCTGTCTCTCCTCTCCTCTCCCCGCGTCAGCTGGGCATCCTACCTCAACCGAGGCAGCACCGGCTGTGGCGGCGCCTTTCTGTGGTTCGTTTCCCCGCGATCACCACTCCTCCCCACTCCGCCCTCCCTACTTTCCCCTTTTCCTGCGTCAGCTGGGCATCATGCCGAAGCTGAGGCAGGACCCGCAGTGGCGCGGCTACAGCCGGTGGTGCAGCCACGTGGCGCCCTGGCTGCCCCTCGCCCTGCTCTCCACCCACACTTGCCCTGCTGAGAACGTGCAAGGGGAGGTGCAGTGGGGGGAGGAGGAGGAGGATGATTGGGAGGAGGCGGAGGATGATTGGGAGGAGGCGGATGATGATTGGGAGGCGGAAGAGGGAGATGGAGGGGAACAGGGAGAGGAGGAGGAGGAAGAAGGTGACGATGGGGAAGAGGAGGATGATGAAGTGGTGGAGGTGCGGGTAGGAGGGATTGGGAATAGAGAGGCAGAGGGGGAGGAGTTTGAGGGGTTGGAAGGGGGAGGGCTGGAGGTCGAAGTGGAGGAGGTGGAAAGGGGGGAGAGATGGGGCAATGCGGGGCGGCAGGGGGGTGGGGCAGGGGGGCTTGAGACGCGAGGAGGGGCTGTGAGGAGTCGGAGGAGCAGAGGAGGGGTGAGTGGAGGGGGTTGGAGGGGTGGAGAGTGGAACGGTGATGAGTGGTGGGGGACGAGGAGGGGGGATGTGGGGCGACAGGCTGGGGAAGGGGGGGGTGTGAGGAGCAGAGGAGGGGGGGCGAGTGTGGGGGGGAGAGGGATTGGGAGTGATGGGGTTGGTGCTGCACAGGGGAATGGCGGGTTTGGCCGTCCAGCTGAAGCACCACAGGCTAATGGCATGCGTCGTGCTGAGGTGGCACGAAACAATGTCACTTCTGCTGACGGTGCGCGTGCTGACGTGGCCCATGCTGCTGACATGGCCGGTGCAAGTGCGGATGAGAGGGACGAGTACCCTGCGAGGCTGGCAGCGCGGATCGCTGGCATGGCGGCGAGCAGGAGGGAGCAAGGCGGCACAGAGGGGGGAGGGGCCGGGGATGGAGGAGGAGGAGGAGGAAACGCAAGTGCACGGTGGGGGGATGGGGCTCCAGAGGGGCAGAATCGAGGGGAGGAGAGGAGAGGGGGGAGGGGTGTGAAGCGGTCAAGGCCGGTGTGGGTGCAGGTGAGGGAGAGGAAGCGGCAGCGGCAGGTGATGGAGAGTGTAGCGCGTGCCCTCACCACGTTCAGGAGCATGGCGGAGAAGGGGCAGCCCCACGTGCACCGAGGTGCGTGATGGGATGGGATGGGATGGGATGGGATGGGATGGGATGGGGTGGGATGGGATGCGGTGGGGTGGGTTGGGGTGGTGGTGTGAGCGGCTGGGGTCGGTCCGGGATGCGATGGAATGGAATACGATGCAATGCGCTGTGCTTCCTTATGATTTGATGCAATGTGATTTGATGTCATGTGATGTGATGTGATGTGAAGGCACACACGTGTACGGATATATAGTAAGTGTGTGCCTCTGTGGATGGTTTGAGGGAAATGTTGAATTCGTGCCTGAGTCGAACAATGAAATGGAGGATCCAAGAAGATCTGGTGGGAGATCTGATTTTAGGAATCACAATCAATAAGCACAAGCAGATAATGATCAACATGATGATGACGATGATAACGATAATGATAGTTATTGTAACAATAGGTATAGCAATGATTACAACAATCGTAGTTGTAATAATAGTATCCTAACAACCCATGACCTCAAGTTAAATCCCTGAGCTCAAATTAAATCCCAACAACCCCATGCCATGCGTCCAGCAACTCGCGAAGGTGTTGCCAGCTGTCCGAACTTGAATTAGATCAACGAATGTCATCGCTAAGTGCAATGTCGCCTGCCATTGCCGGCCGTCTACTTTCCAATCAGTAGAATTTGTGCTGCTCGACACCCAGAATCTTGCGTTGCTCATCGCATCAAAACTTCGACTTTGCTACAGTGGCGGTTCAAAGTCAACTACATGATTGCGCCCGCCACTGTGCCTCTACTGTTACCCGCTTGTTGGTACATCAATCGGTCGTTCCATATAGCCTACTCCCGTCCATAAGCGAGCTTCCATGACAATGACCTCTCCTACTAGGCGTGAGCAACCGACCCGACCCGCCCCGACCCGACCCGATTTGGGCAGGCCAGGCATGTACCGGTTCGGGTCGGGTCGACTCATACCGGGCCGAGGTTCCCAAAACCCTGGCCCGACCTGGCCTTGAAGGACTGGGTCAAGCGTGACGCGCCCCCGGGTCGAGGCACAGAGCCTTGCCGATCTGCGTAGATCGGCGATTTCGCCTGCCGATCTGCGCAAACATGCGATTTTGCATGCTGATCTGCACTATTCAGCGATTTTCGCCAATCCATCTAATTGCGCCACTAACTTCGTCAGGCACTCCCTCCCCCCGGTTAAATTTGTTGTTTAGAAGATCCCAACCAATTTGCTGCCACTTACCACTTGTCATCGCACTGGATCTACAATACCCAACAAACCCCCCCCCCCCCCCCCCCCCCCCCCCCCCTGCCGTACGCTTTCACAAATCTAGACATTCTGCGTAGCCCTGCGCTTTCGTTCAGCCCCCTCCACCCAAAGGTCGACTACGGCTGGTTTAGCTCCTAGACCTGACCCGATATCTAGATAAATGACCCGCTTCCAGGCTGGGTCAACATCGGGTCAAAACCCGACCCGTTTTCAGGCCAGGTCAATATCAGGTCAAAACCCAACCTGACCTGGCCCGATTTCGAGAATCGGGTATCAGGGCGACCCAACCAGGCCGGACCAGCGTTTGGAAAACCCTGGCCCGACCCGGGCTAAACCGGGTCGGGTCGTCATGCTTAAGCCTACCTCCTACATCCAAGCTCGTTGTCAAACTCGAGAAAATCATGAGTCATAAGTTTCGGAACTTGCAAGGCTCTCGACTGGTCGAGTTTCAGATCGCGGTCTCAAGTTTGCCCACCATCAAAGTTTGCCCACCAGACCGTTTTTCCGAAGCTGATGGGCAATTTGGTGGCAACGCTCCCACTCTGACCACCAAACCTCATTCTGGCGGGCGACTAGGGTCGCAGTCTTCGCATGTCAGGTATCTAACCGAAGTGACTTCGCCCCCAATGGAATTCGCGCCACTGCTCGCATACACATGGTTCGACGACAATTGTTACGCAGAACACAGACGGCCAACCCTGACGGCCGCGGCTCTTCAGAAGTTTTTCCGCTTGAACAAAACCGAATACGAATACGTGGGCAACGGGCTAAATGTATTTTGACGGCAACTTGCATGAGTCAACCAATTCAACGCAAAAAATGTCAAAACAGACAAAAATTGGCACGTCCGGTGTTGTCGCACACTGTCGGACAGAGCAGTCGTAGCCATCGTGGCCGGTTGGAATGATAGTGGGCAAAGGTCGAACCGCATGGGCAAACTTTCAAATGTGAATTAATGCCACGTCAACATTTCGAGTCGCGTGGGCAAACTTCAATATGGTGGGCAAACTTCGGAATGCGCCCTCAGATCCGCTAGAAGGACCATACGTCAATTGAAGACAGGTGGGTGCCCTTGGGCAATAATGAGGGTTATCCCATCGTCCGGGAGTACTTAAGGAGCGTAAGGCAGTTGGGTGCCTTTGTGCAAGTAGTGTATGTACACCAGTCCTAGGCCGTTTTTCGCTCTCCACCAGTCGCTAGTGTTAGTTTTTGTCCAATTACACATCGTTGATTAAGGTTGCGTTTGTTGACGGAGAATGGCCCCGCCCTCGCTTGGGTGACGCCGACTTCGCAGTCGGGTGTACGGAGCTGCAGCCGGCTGCAGTCAATGTCGACGCCAACTTGGGCGAGGAAGTCGACGAATTTGGTCGTCTTCTGCAGGACCACTGCTAGGTCGTCGACTTGCAACGTTTGCAAGTCGCCTCCCAGCTGTGCTGGCACGGTGTTAACTTGCAGTGCTAACATGCCGTCCCGTGCTGCGCTGGAGGTCGACCTGCCTGTGTGCTAGGTTGCTAGGCCAGTGATATCGTCATTGTTGTCATTACCGATTCATTTCATATCCAACTTTTGTTAGTTAAACTCTTGCCAATTCTCCCCGTGAATGCGCAAGTGGAGAGAACACGAGCAAACGCTGCAATCACTCGTACCACCGGTGCCTTTCCCATGTAGTCCAACTCTTGGTGTAGAGTGACTCTTCGTAGCGTTGACTAGCCTGAACTTTTTTGCCAGTGCACAACCAGCCTAGCTCACCTTCACGTGCTACCGTTGGTGATTTTTGCTATTTATTGTTCGCTCATGTCTTTGCTCACATTGTACTATTTCCTTTATCCATTACTGCAGTCCTGTTCTCTCATTATATTGCACACATAACAAGTAGTGAAAATAATGAAAATTATGGTGATACTGATCATTACTCACCACCTCTGTACCTGCCTCTTCACCTGCAGACGCGGTAGCGGATAGTGTGTTCAAGTCGGTGCAGGACGTGCAGGCCCTCCCCTCTCTGACGGACGCGCAGCGCGTGGCGGCCATCGACGCCTTCCTGCAGCGCCCCCTCGACGCCCACGCCTTCCAGGCCATGCGCCCCGCCCTGCAGACCCTCTTCGCCCGCCGCGCTCACGCCCAGGCCGTTGACCGGCAGCTGGCCGGCGTGCAGGCCGCTGCTGCTGCTGGGGGGGATGCCGGCTTGGTGGACCAGCAGCTTGCGGGGCTGTCGGCGGGTGTGGCTGCAGGTGTTGGTGTGGTTGGCGGGGGAGGGGGGACGGGGGGATTGGGTGGGGGTGTGGGGGGAATGGGTGCTGGAGGAGTGGGAATGGGAGGGGCTGGGGTGGGGGCGACGGGGTTGGGGGCAACTGGAGTGAGGGGGACGGGAACAGCGGGGGCTAGAACAGCAGGGGTGGGATCAACGAGGGTGGGTATGGGGGTTACAGCGATGGGCGGGACAGGAGCAGGGGGAACGAGGATGGGGGAAACGCGTACGGGGGTAATGGGAATGGCAGGAACGCGGATGGGGGAAACGGGAACGGGGGGGACGCGGATGGGAGAAACAGGTTTCGGTTGGAGGGGATTGGGGACGGTTGGGCAAACGGGGGCAGTGGGAGGGATGGCAGGAGGTGGGGGTGGGGGTGTGGGAATGGCAGCAGCATCAGCAGCAGCAGCCTCAGCAGGAGGAGCGAGGGGTTTACAAGGTGTGGGGGAGGGTGGAGGAGGAGGAAGACGGGTAGGTCGAAGAGGAGGGGTAGGAGGGGCAGGAGGAGCAGGAGCAGGTGGGTTGGGCGGTGCAGGTGGGATGGGCACAGGAGAGGCGGGCAGCATGGCAGGCAGCATGGCGGGCAGCATGGCAGGACTGGAGCTGCTGGGGCATCGCGTGCAGGAGTTGGTGCGAGAGAGCCTGGGAGCAGTCAATGTTGGTCAACAGATGGCCAGCACAGGTCAACATGCAGTCAATGCTGGTCAAGGGGGGGTGGTTGACGTTCCAGTGGTGGTCAATGGGATTCAGTGCGAGTGCCCTGAGTGTGTGGCTGTTAGAATGTCGGTCAGAATGCGTCAAGGCACAGTCAACGCGAGTCAAGATGCAGTCAATGCGAGTCAACCAGTGCTCAATGCGGGTCCAGCACTGGTCAACGCGGGTCAAACAGCAGTCAACGTGAGTCAACCAGTGGTCAATGCGCATCCAAGTAGGGGAGTGGCAGCGAATCAAGTGGAGACAGCTGTCAGCCAGCCAGGGTTGGGTGCAGGTCGTGTGAGAGGAGCTGCTGTGCTACAGACAAGAAATGCTGGTCAAGCACCAGACAACGCTGGTCAAGCACCAGTCAACGCTGGTCAAGCACCAGTCAACGCTGGTCAAGCACCAGTCAACGCTGGTCAAGCAGCAGTCAACGCTGGTCAAGCAACAGTGAATGCAGGAGGAGGGGCAGTGGGTGTGGGTCAAGGCAGAGCGGGAAGGGGAGGAGGGGGAGGAGGAGGGGAGGGAGGGGTTTGGAGGGAAGCAGCGATTGTGGGGCTGCCATTGGTGGAGCGGCTGCTGCAGGGCCAGGCGAGGGAAAGAAGCAGTGCTGTGGCGAGGGGACAGGGGGAGGACAGCGGGCAGAGGGGGGAACAGGGAGGGGAGGAGGGAGGAGAGGCGAGAGGGGAGCATGGAGGGGAGCAAGAAGGGGAGCATGGAGGGGAGCAAGGAGGGGAACAGGGAGGGGAGCAGAGGGTGGGGACGGTGAGTGTGCCGGGGGGCAGGGGCAGCGCAGGGGGGGTGTTCACGCTGTCGCACCGCTGTGTGGCGGACGGGCCGGCAGGGCAGTGCAGCCTGTGCAGCATCGTGGCTGACCTCGTCAAAGAGCTGGGGGGAGGCGCTGCTGGGGGAGGCGCTGCTGGGGGAGGCGCTGCTGGGAGAGGGGGTGCTGCTGACCTTGTCAAAGAGCTGGGGGCGCCTGGTGATGGGCGGGGGCAGGGCAAGGAGCTGGGCGCACCTGGTGGTGTGGTGCATGGTGGGGGCGAGGTGGGGGGTGATGGGAGAGAGGTGCGCACTGGGGCCGAGGCGGAGGGTACTGAGGTTGAGATGTCCGGTCCGAGAGGGGAGGAGGGCGGGAATGCTGGTGGAGGGGCGGACGGGGCAGACGGGGCGGACGGGGCGGGGGAGAGGGGTGTGGCGGGAAGGGTGAGGGCAGAGGAGGGTGGTGAGGGAAGGGGCGGTGGAGGTGAAGAAGCAGTAAATGCAGGTCAAGGGGCGGTCAATGCAGGTCAAGGGGCGGTCAATGCAGGTCAAGGGGCGGTCAATGCAGGTCAAGGGGCGGTCAATGCAGGTCAAGGGGCGGTCAATGCTGGTCAAGGGGCGGTCAATGGTTGTCAAGGGGTGGGTATGAATGGAGCAGAAGAGTTGAACCTTTCAGGCCAAAATGTGAGAGCTGGATGGGATATGCGTGAGGAGGAGTTGGGTGAGGGGACAGGAATTGTGTGTGTGAGGGACGATGGAGTTATTGTGTTCGAGGGGGGAGATTTGAGTATGGGGGAGGGAGGCACTTCTGAGGGGGAAGGGGATGTGACTCTGGGGGAAGGGGATGTGGCGATGGGTGAAGGGGATGTGCTTATGGGTGAAGGGGATGTGACTATGGGTGAAGGGGATGTGACTATGGGGGAAGGGGATGTGCCTATGGGGGAAGGGGATGCGACTGTGAGGGGAAAGGACTCAAGCTGTAAGGAAGGAGAGACACGTGGGAAGGAAGGAGAGAGGAATGGGAAGGAAGGAGAGATGAGTGGGAAGGAAGGAGGGATGAATGCGAAGGAAGGAGGGATGAGTGGGAAGGAGGGGGAGACAAGAGGGAAGGTTGGGGAGACTGCTGAGAAGGAGAGAGATGCGAGTGGGGAGGAGGGAGAGAAGAGTGGGAAGGAGGGAGAGACGAATGGGAAGGTGGGAAAAGCATGCGGGAAGGAGGGAGAGACGAGTGGAAGGGAGGGAGAGGCGAGTGGGAAGGAGGGAGAGACGAGTGGGAAGGAGGGAGAGACGATTGGGAAAGAAGGAGAGACGAATGGGAATGAAGGAGAGGCATGCGGGAAGGAGGGAGAGACGAGTGAAAGGGCGGGAGAGGCGAGTGGGAAGGAAGGAGAGACGAGTGGGAAAGAGGGAGACACGAGTGGGAAGGAGGAGGCGAGTGGGAAGGAGGGAGAGACGAGTGAGATGAAGGGAGAGACGAGTGGGAAGGAGGGAGAGACGATGATTGGGAAAGAGGGAGAGATGAGTGGGAAGGAGGAGGCGAGTGGAAAGGAGGGAGAGATGAGTGGGAAGGAGGGAGAGACGAGTGGGAAGGAGGGAGAGACGAGTGGGAGGGAGGGAGAGACGAGTGGGAAGGAGGGAGAGACGAGTGGAAAGGAGGGAGAGACGAGTGGGAAGGAGGAGGCAGGTGGGAAGGAGGGAGAAGCGATTGGGAAGGAGGGAGAAACGAGTGGGAAGGAGGGAGAGACGAGTGGAAAGGAGGGAGAGACGAGTGGGAAGGAGGAGGCAGGTGGGAAGGAGGGAGAAACGATTGGGAAGGAGGGAGAAACGAGTGGGAAGGAGGGAGAGACGAGTGGAAAGGAGGGAGAAACGAGTGGGAAGGAGGAGCCAGGTGGGAAGGAGGGAGAAACGATTGGGAAGGAGGGAGAAACGAGTGGGAAGGAGGGAGAGACGAGTGGAAAGGAGGGAGAAACGAGTGGGAAGGAGGAGGCGAGTGGGACGGAGGGAGAGACGAGTGGGAAGGAGGGAGAAACGAGTGGGAAGGAGGGTGAGACGAGTGGAAAGGAGGGAGAGATGAGTGGAAAGGAGGGAGAGACGAGTGGGAAGGAGGGAGAGACGAGTTGGAAGGAGGGAGAGACGAGTGGGAAGGAGGGAGAGACGAGTGGGAAGGAGGGAGAGACGAGTGGGAAGGAGGGAGAGACGAGTGGGAAGGAGGGGGTCAAGGCTTTGGGGGAAATCGAGCTGACTGCAAAGGAAGGAGAAAATGATAAAGATGGGTGAGGAAAATTATGCAGTCATCATGTGGTGGTCAGGACCTTATATATTGGACTCATGTGGACCAATGGTACTGGTTTGATAAATAATAACTACTATCATCGCCTGGTCCAGGGATGACGTTTCAAATTTAGGTACCCTGAGTTCAACCTAAAAAACAAAATTTTACCCTGAAGGCACATTTTCCAGAAAAACAGCACCCTGATTGCTCAGGGTTGAGAAGTAGTGAACTCTGAATGTTCAGGGTCGAGAATTGAAAATCAGGGTCGTAGTAACGCGCTCTTTCTTTACCGGGGACAGAAGTCTCACTCAATCAGAAGTCTCATTCTTTACCCTAATCGCAACATCTGCTCGAAATATGACAGTCTACGGGGATTTCAGGCAGAATCTACCTTGACCTAGCGCAAAAGGGATTTCCGTACGGAGCAGAGGTCGAATCTGCTGTTGGTGTCGCAAGGGTGACTGTGACTGGCGCTGTGACTGGCGCGCTGTGACTTGCGATGTGACTGGCAATGTGACTGGCACTGTGGCGATGTGACTGGCACTGTCGCGATGTGACTCGCGATGTGACTGGCGCTGTGTCAGAGCACAACTATTTCGACCAATAACAGCAACCTAAAATCTGACATTATAGATTCGCCCGATCTCGATGATGGGTGTATGGGAACGAAACTTCGAAGAAACTTCGTCTCGATAAAGCGAGGGGTGGGGGGGGGGATTACGCACGTGGGGGGCACTGAAATCAATCCGAAGGCGGGGTTATCAGGAGGAAATTTCCGAGAAACTTCGTCCCGATAACATCGCATTCAGGGTCCACAGGCCTCGTACTCTGTATTGACAGGGTCCGTGGAAACCCTACACTGAGAGTGTATACAAAATTTCAGGGTTCGCTAAAGCAATACTCTGAATGGATCAGGGACCAAAATGTGAAAAGCCTGATTTCTCAGGGTCCAGAAAGTGACAAGTCTGAAATCACCCTGAAATCAGGGTAATTACCCTGATAAAATCAGCCCTGGCCTGGACAGCAGACATGCCGTACAATGTCAGCCCAGATATAGGCACGGACGGGCTTATTATAAGCGCATGCCAGGCCCTCAGAAGTCAGAGAAAAAAGGCTGATTTAGCCTTTGGAGGCTGATTTCACAGACATGTGGCTGATGTGTTGGCTGATTATTCAGTTTTTTTTTTTAATGTATTGGCTGATTGTTCAGCTTTTTTTTTTATGTATTGGCTGATTCTTCAGCGATTTTTTACAAGTGTGGGCTGAATGATCAGAGTTGTAACGAGAGTGTAGGCTGAATTCACGCTATTACAGATTCGTGCTGTAGCCGTGAGATTCGGCTGTCCAGGTACATCCACCGTCAATCACGCAAAAGTTGCCATGTACAGCGCCGACGCGGCGGGAAAACGAATTTTCCCTACGCGTCGGTTGCTTCGTTGTCACCGACAGAATGCTCAGATTGATGTGATTGGTTGTTTAACCAATCACATCCCTTATGGGCCAATCACCCACCACCAGTGCAGCACAGCAACGCACTGCACGCACTCACGACAAGGACACCCACCTCACCCCATCTCACCCACCCCGAACCTGCATCCAAGTGTGTGCATGGTGCCTCCACGTCGCGCCGCGTTGCAGTTGGGTAGTGAGAACGAGAGGGCCTTCTTTTATGGCTCTCTCTTGATGACCCCACCGTACCCACCCACCAGTCGAGCTGCACTGTCAATCCCCGCCTCTCGCCCTTGTTTTCTCAAACCCTAGCTAGAAACGTTGGAGCTCAGCACGCTCTCCCCTTTCAGCCATGGCCGGCCTTGCAGAAGGCTTGGTTAGCGATGATGATGGAGGCATGGATAGTAGTGATGATGAACTAGACGGCTTAGAGGAAGCCAGGACGGGGCTTGATATGCTCCTGCGCTCGCTTGGCACTGGTGTCCTCGCTCCCAGGCCTCCTACTGCAGAGCCTGCTCTAGTCGAGAGGGTTAACCGCGACCACCCACCGGTTTGTTCAAGCCCGGATTCCATCCGGAGTGAGCCTGCTGCGCCTGCTGCCGTCTCCGACACTGTGGTTGTCGGGTTGCCAACAACGAAGTCCTCTGCCCCGCGCACCTTCAAGCTGAAGCAGTCGACGCTGAGCTGGGCAAAGCCATCTTCCAGCGCCGCTGTCGAGCAAGCTACCGTGAACAATACATCCCCTCGTCCATCATTGGTCATAGACGTTTCTGAGGCCATTGAAGCCGTCTATGCAGACGCTCTTGTTAAATACAAAACGAAGTGGTCTGAGAGGTTCCCGTGGCTTGTGCTAACCAAATCTAAATCGGGTTTCCCTGCTTTTAAGTGCAGTGTCTGCACCAAGCATGCCGGAGTCAAGGGACGATGTGGCCGGACAGGGCGAGGGGCGACCGACGTGCAGACGCAAGCTTTTCGCAAGCACGCCGGTACGACGAAACACAAGCTGGCGATGGAGAAGCAGGAGGCTCTGCTGAACGCGGCTTCAAGGCAGCCACGGATCGACCAACATCGAGCCGCCGTCGATGCTGAGAAGAACCGAGTCACGGCGTTGCTCGACTCCATGATGTTCGTCAGTTCCTGCGATGCGCCCATAGGAACATGGGTAAAGCTGGTGCAGTACCTCGCACGCAAAGGTGTCCAGGGCTTCCCTAAGAAGGGATATGGCACCTACTACACATCGTGAGTATTAGTCACCCTTGTATTGTGTTGGTGTTTTGATGTTCCTACCGTAACCTTCTTCTAATCTCTTGTCTTCGGTTTTCATGCTGGCAGGTACGGCTTCGGTGAGCTCACGCAGGCCCTTGCTACCTGGCTACAGACAACTCAGCTAGAGCACATCCTGACAAGCCCTTTCATCGGCATCTGCATCGATGAAAGCACGGATCGGCTCTGGGGGAAGCACATGATCCTGTACGCGTCGTTCATCCGCGACAACGTCCTCGTGACCGAGTTCATGCAGCTGATCACGGTGGAAAAGGCGGACGCTTCTTCTCTTCTGAGCATCCTGCTTTCCCACTTGCAGGCAGTCGGTGTCGATCTGCAGAGGATTTCCGGCATTAGCACAGACGGCGCAAGAGGGATGATGGGCTCTAAGGCCGGCAGGGTTGTCCGACTGCGACAGAAAATCCCGCACCTTGTCTCCGTTCACTACATCGCTCACAGTTTAGTGAGCTCCGCTGTTTCGTTTTAAGCCGTTACGCCATCTTGTTCGAGCTTGTCTCTAACACCCCGTGATGTGTTCCACTTGCAGGGAGGCACTTGCAGCGAAGGATGCGGCAGAGGAGCTCCCCGTCTTCGACATGGTCGACGATCTGATCCGTGCTGTGGCCGATTTGCTTGGTCGGTCGGGACCGCGCCACGCACGGTTCATGGATCTGCAAGAGGTTATCACCGAAACGAGCCCTGAAGTGCAAGGCATCCACTCCGTTCTGTGGCTGTCAAGGGGGGATGCCGTCCGTCGCCGTGTCGCTGTTTTGCCGGCAGTGATTGTGCTGCTGAAGGAGCTTAACAGCAAGATGTACGCGCTGGCAAGCTCCTACCGTTTTCACTTCTTCCTTTACTTCCTGGCTGATGTGCTTGAGCAGCTCAACATCTTGAGCAAGACCTTCCAGCAAAGACAGGTGAGGTGGTACGATTATAACTACGCATGTCACCCTATTCACCATTCTAACTATGTCACTGTGTGCCTTTGTCTGTCCAGCTCGATCTGGTGTCTTTGCATGCGCAGATCAAGCGGACAACCCGTCACATCGAGAGCCGCTACGTGGACTGCGGCGATGACTTCGGCGGTGGCATGAGCCAGTGGCTGTCACCTTTCCTGGAACGCCATGGCCCGGGGTGTAGCCGCGAAGTGAAGGTGGAAGGTGTCGACAGCAACAGCCGACCATCCTCTATCACGTTCACCCTTCACGACGATCCCGTGGGCTCGTACAGCGGCCCGGAGGACCACGACGGCTGCATCCAGTTGTGCACCGAGTTCGCAGAGAGGATCGTGGCGAACCTGGAGGGAAGGCTCGGTGATCTCGACTCGCTCTCTGGAGTCCGCCTGTTCACACCTGATGCATGGCCACAAAGCAAGTCTGAGCGGAATGCTCGTTGCCAGGAGTGGCTTCACTCGCTGGTGACGATGTTCAAGGCTCAGGACCGTGAGGAGATCTTGCCAGGTTCGTTATGGCTGATGATTTCAAGTCATGATTTCATACCTATGCTTGAGAATCCTTTGTGCTGTTTGCTCATTTGCCTCTTCTTCACCCTCCCTCCCTCCCTTCCACCAGGCATCAACAAGAGGCTGGCAGGCAAGGAGCTTCGCCTCTTTTGTTCAGTCCTTGCACGTGCCCCCAAGGAAGAGAGGAGCTTCCACAGCGGACTAACGGCGATCCTCAAGACGCCAGACTGGCGGGAGAGTTACCCCATTCTGGTGCAGCTCTGGGTGGCGGTGGCTGTGATTCCCCTCAGCACAGTGGAGTGTGAAAGGGGATTCACCCGGCAAAACGTGATCAAGACATGGCGGCGAGGGGGGATCAAGGACGCGAGGCTGGGGGACCTCATGTGTATGTCCCTCATGCAGTACGAGCCCAACTACGATGACGTAGTTGAGATCTGGCGGAGTTACAAAAAGCGGAAGCCTTTCAGCAATGCTCCCATCTTCACCCCAACCCCAGGCGACAACAACAAGAAGGGCAAGCATGACGACCCCATAGATGTAGATGAGGAGGAGCCAGTAGGAGATGCAGGAGGTAGTTCTAGTGATGAAGATGATGAAATGAGCAGCTAATATCATGTAGTGTTTCCTTGTTTGTTAGGCCTGCTAAATTTAATGATCTTAGTGCTTCAAAATAGTTCAGCCTTAGTTTTTTAGTGAGGCTGATGAGTCAGCGTTTTTTTTGGGGACTTCAGCTTTTTTTTTGGGAACAACTCGGATTGATCAGCTCAGAGTAGCCTGCTAAGGCTGACGTATCAGCCTAGGAAAAAACGAATCTGAGGCCCTGGCGCATGCACTTCTATCTGGAACACTGCACTTATGCAGGGCCTCAGAAGACATCCAAAAAGGGCTGATTAGGGTTAAAAATGCTGATTTCAGAGTACTGGGGAGAGAGTAGGGCTGATTTGTAAGTTCTTTTTTTGGGTTGCGAAGCAAGCTATTACGATCGTTATGTAAAAAAAAAAAAAAAATCAAAAAAATTTTTTTTTTGAAGAAAATTTAGTGAACGTTATCTAAGTGACTGACTGCTATGTATTTGCCACAGCAATTTAGCACTTGACGTACCGTACCACATTTCTTCTCATTTCCTAGTTTGCCTTGACTGAACCTAAACTGTATGGATGAAACATGGCTTTCTCAAAATGAGAGAGGAATGGATGAACTAACAGCATTGGGAGTACAAGTAGGAAAACCTAGAATGTTGTACCCCCTAAGGCTAAACCCACTATAGCCTACAGAATAGAAACATATATAATGTTTGACACACCCCCATAGGCTAAGTGGGAGACAACCAGATGGTCACAAGACCAGTCAAAACAAAGCAAAGCAAAGCACAGCTCAGGGTGGATCTCAAGGATACCACACAAATTCCGAGCACAAGCAAGCGGTCACAAGACCAGTTCACATGCAGGTTGATAATACAACAAGAAATACAGTGATCACAACCTAGCAAGTGTAAACATGCAGGTAGACATATATAAGGATCACAGTACAAGCAGGGTCAGGAAGTAAGCAAGTGAGGCACAGTAGGCACAAGGCCTAGAACAGTACAGAAACGCTGATGATCACAAGGCTGAAGCGCCTTGGTGAACACAGCAGCAGTGTTGGCCCGAGTGGCCACGTAAGCAAGACGAAGCTGACCACGCTGCTGCAACTCTCAAGCAAGGAAGTAGCGCAGAGCGATGTGCTTCGTTCTGTGCTCCAGTCTGTGCTCCTGACACAAGGCAATCATGGCCTTGTTGTCGACGTACACCACTGGAGGAGAACGAGGCGGCTCTCCAAGGTCGGTCAGCAGGTAGGTGAGCCAGCGTAACTCCTGTGCAGCCATGGCCCCTGCGTAGATCTCAGCCTCACAACTGGAGCTGAGAACAGAAGACGAGCGGGTAGACCGCCAAGAAACAGAGCCGGAGCCAAGGCTGAAGGTGTAACCCTGTGACGACCGCTGCGTAGCCAAGTCGTCAGCCCAAGAAGCGTCTGCGTGACCAGTGAGGACAACTCGAGCCCGTCCTCCAAGCACGAGCCCCATGCCCGACGTACTGCACAAGTAGCGCAACACCCTCTTAGCAGCATCCATGTGCTCCTTCCTGTGTCGGCCAGGAGCGACATAGCGTGCTAGGATGCTAAGAGGGTAGGCTAGGTCAGGTCGAGTGCAGGTCATCAGGTACATGAGGCAGCCCACAATCTCTGGATACGGGCCACTCGGCTCTACGGACTCGTCTGAAGGTGGAGCTGATAGCGAGTGACCGGTAGGCAGAGGAGTGGACTGTGGCGAGGAGTACGTGAAGCGGAAGCGCTGAAGGACCTGCTGCACCATGTGTGACTGAGTCAAGGTAATGGTGCGCTGTGCTCTGTCCCGGGTGATCCGCAAGCCAAGATAGCTTGTCAGCTCACCCAGGTCTGTGCACGTGTGTCTCTTCTGCAGCTCCGACTTCACGTGGGCGAGTGCCTCAGTGTCAGCAGTAGCAAAGACCAAGTCGTCTACGTACATGAGAACGTAGAACGGCGGCAGAGTGGTGTCGGTGCGTAGAAACAGCAGCAGTAGAAGGATCAAACCCAAGAGCAGCAAGAGTAGTCCTCAGTGTGTTGTGCCACTCACGGGGTGCCTGGCGGAGACCGTAGACTGGCCGCCGGAGGCTCGACTGGGTACCAGCAGGAAACGACCCAGTGAAGCCAGGTGGGCGGTGCAACCAGATCTCCTCGTGCAGGCTGCCCTGTAGGAAAGCAGTGCTGAAGTCAAGAGAGTGGAGCTCGTAGTCACGCTGAGCGGCGACGTGCAGCATAACTCGAAGAGTGGTCATCTTCGGGGTAGGGGAGAAGGTCTGGAAGAAGACAACTCCCTCACGCTGACTGAAGCCTCGTGCAACGTAACGCGCCTTGAAGACAGGCGGAGAACCCGGCGGCCGCTTCACCCTGAAAATCCACATGCCACTGACGATGTTCGCCCCAGGCGGGGGAACCTCGTCGACGTAGGTGCCTGTGGACTTCCAGGAAGCCATCTCTGCGTCCATGGCTGACTGCCACTGAGAGGAGTAGGGACCCTCTATCGCCTCTGCGTAAGAGCGCGGGGTCGGGATGTCTGGTGCATCCGGGTCTCCCTCAGGGGCAATCAGCATGGACACGAGATGAGGTAAAGCAGCGGCAAAGCACTCAAACTCCTCCTGTCTATCCTGAAGGACATCCGTGCCAAGAGCACACTCACCCCCGACGGACAGAGGACAGACAGACTCAGACTCAGCAACAAGGCTAGCGGCGTAGTCTAGACGACAGGCGGCAGCAAAGTCAACAAGCTCAGCGACTAGAGCAGACGCAGCAGTGGACTCAAACGAAGGGTCAGTGACAACAGTGGCGAGGAAACGCGTGACAGTAGGACTGGCAGCACGAAGGGAGTCAGACTCCGAGTCCGGACCGTCAGGAAGAGAGGACGCAGGAGGAGACCGCAGAGGGACACGCTGTGGAGCAGTGGAAGGACGCAGAGTCATATAGTGAGTGCCAGGGACAGGAGGAGGACGCTCACGCGGAACACGACGACCAGCGCGGACAGCGCGGACAGGCGACTCTGGACGAGACCCAGGCGACGCAGGACGAGACTCAGGCTCACGACGCTCCGTAAGACCTCTAGTCGGCCCAGCGTAAGGAGAAGGACCAGGCAGCGGAGAGGCAGGCTGTAACTATGACTGCAACTGGACAGGCGGTGGACTCAGAAGGGGAGGAGTAGGTCCAGTAGAGGGCGGGAGGCCAAGAACCTGCTGAAGGAGCGGAACGTAGTACGGCCGCAGCCGCGCAGCACCTCCTGAACCAGCAGAGACAGCACCAGCACCCTCAGCCCCAGGGTCTCCAGCTACAACTCCCGCAGCACCACCAGCAGCTCCAGCACCTCCAGCTCCAACTCCCGCAGCAGCTCCAGTCCCAGCAGCTCCAATACCTCCAGTACGAGCACCTCCAGGACCAGCGGCTCCAGCAGCTCCAGCACCAGCAGCACCTCCAGCAGCTCCAGCACCAGCAGCAGCTCCAGCACCAGCAGCACCAGCACCAGCAGCACCTCCAGTAGCTCCAGCACCAGCAGCACCTCCAGCAGCACCAGCAGCAGCTCCAACACCAGCAGCACCTCCAGCAGTACCAGCACCAGCAGCTCCAGCTCCAGCTCCAGCAGAACCCCCAGTCCCAGCAGCTCCAGTACCGCCTGTACGAGCACCTCCAGGACCAGAGGCTCCAGCACCTCCAGCAGCACCAGGGCCTCCAGCGGGCGGCACCCCAGCGCTAGGAGCGCCGCTCCGGAGGCTGCAGCGCCGAGCGTACCACTCACGCAGCCGATGTGGGGAGGGAGGCTCCGGCCGCGACACGGCGCCCGCAGCACCACCAGCTCCAACTCCGGCAGAACCCCCAGCTCCAGCAGCCCCACGCCGGAGGCTGCAACGCTGAGAGTACCACTCACGCAGCTGCTGTGAAGAGGGAGCGCCACCAGGCCCAGCACGGTCAGTCTCAAAACCCCCAGCCTCAGCTCCCCCAGGCTCAGCACCCCCAGTCTCAGCACCCCCAGGCTCAGCACCCCCACTCCCAGCACCTCCAGTCTCAGCACCCCCAGGCTCAGCACCCCCAGCCTCAGCACCCCCAGGCTCAGCACCCCCAGTCTCAGCACCCCCAGGCTCAGTACCCCTCGCAGGACCAGAGTCGACAGCTACCTCGACAGGCTCGACCGGGTCTCCCTGGGAAACACCTGAGGGAGCAGGACCCTGGGGAGGGAGGGGGTCTACCGAAGGGACACCTGGGGTGAGGAAGAGCGGCGGGGGGGGGGAAGCGGGGCAGTGCGGTAGGGAAAAAGACGGTAAAAGGGTACCGACTCGTCAAAAGTGACGTCCTGAGAGGGGAAGACACGGGGCGAGGTGGGGTGGTAAAACTGCCAGCCAGGCGCGTTAGGGGGGAAGCCAAGGAAGACACAGGGAACAGCGCGGGCGGAGAGCTTGTCCGCGGACGTATCGCGGACAAAAGCACGAGATCCCCAGACCCGGAACACCGACGCATCGCCAACCTCTCCCGTCCAACGCAGTGTCGGCGAGGTCTCCGGAACGGAGACACGGGGCCAGAGGTTGAGCTGATGCGCAGCGTATCGAACCGCAAACGGCCAGAAAATTGGGGGCAGCCGCATGGATCAGGGAGGTACGAGCGACCTCCATGACTAAGCCAATGCGGCGCTCAGCAACCCCATTTTGCTGAGGAGAGGCCGGAAGCGTGAACGACTGCTCAATGCCCTCCCCCTGACAGAAGGCCCTCAAGAGGTCGGAGGAAAACTCACCACCTCTGTCAGAGTGCAGACGCAGGACAGGAAAGTCCGCGTGGAAGTGCTTGTGCAGCTGGAGACGACTGTTGCGGATCCAAGGGATCAAAACATCAGGGACTTCACCCTTGGTGCGCAAGGGGAAGACCGTGGTGTAACGGGTGTAGTCGTCAACCACCAGCAGGAAGTAGCGCTCGCCGCCCTGTCCACCGACGCGGGTTGGGCCCCACACGTCCAGGTGGAGAGTCTGCAGGGGAGCCTCTGTCGGGGGGAACGAGGAGGAGTGAGGAGCGGCGCGCTG